CTTAAAGATGAAGTACAGCAATAAATGTTAGGAAAAGTTCATTTGTCCCAAAATATCTTTCCCATATTGGTTGATCCTTCACCAATTAGACATTTATTTGTTTGAACAAGCAAATACCTCTAATCATCTATACCTTATTAATATTGAGACACTGAAGGTTTTAATTAGAGAGGAAGAAGGACTAAGGGGTTATTTGGGAGTTTGGCACATTTTGGGTGAGGGCAGATTGTGATAGAATGCCAAAGGGTGGGATCTGGACAGTTCCTATGACTACTCAACAATGCCTAAAGACAGAGTTAAAATAAGCTTAGAAATGGACACCTATCAGCTAGTCAACCTCACTGACCTATAAGCTCTCTTGACCATGACTTGATTCAATTAAACAATCAGTCAGTCAAAAAGCATTTATTAGGTACCTACTATGTTTTAGGCAGTGTGTTAGGCACTGGTGGGTATAAATTTAAAAAAAAATGATCCCTACTCTCAATGAGCTAATATTCTATTCAGGGAAGGCAACATTTGCATATGTGAGCATATAAAGAATAAAAATAAACAGAATTAGTACAAAATGACTACATTTTGATTTCCAAATAATGTGAGACCTGGTGTTTGTTTATTGGCTTTAATGTTGAATTAACCTTCATACTGCTCTCACTCTCATCTTCAAGATCTTAGACCAATGGACTTTTCCAAAAACTTCCTTGCCAAGCAGGACTGCCTTGGATTGGGATGTAGTGGAAAAATACTAGTAATAGAGTTAGAGGAACACTCAAGCCTCCTCATCCTTGGTGTCTTTATCTGAGTGGGGTGAACTAGCTGATCTATAAGGTCCCCCCAAAGTGCTCGCTAAACATATGTTCCTCTGACTATCGAATTGGAGAAACATTGCAATCAAGATAGCGCTATACTCCTTAGGGGTAGAGTAAAGAAAGCACGGAAGAGGAGACAGGGTCACAAAGGAAGACAGGAGGGAGGCTTTTTAACTTTGCCCCACCTAAAGTAGCATAATTAGAAAGAAGAGGAATGTATAAACCACAGTGATCTAGCTCCATGATAATATATGTAGTTGGGGAGGGAGGGCACTAACTGCTGGAACAAACAGGAAAGACTTCATGAAGAAGAAAATGCTTGAAGTGAATCTTAAAGGAAGAGACTCTATGAGGTGGAGGTAAGGAGGGAGGGAATGCATTCCACTGCAAAGATGTGGAGATAGTAGATCGGGTATCATGTAAAGAACAGAGAGAAGGCCATTGTGGCTGAATCCAAAAGTGCAAGAGGGGAAGTAATATACAATGAGCTTGAAAGGATAAGATGGGGCTAGGCTATGTAAGGCTTTAAATGCTAACCAGGAGAGTTTTTTTTTACCCTAGAGGTCACTGGAGTAGGTTGAATGGGGGAATCACATGGGGAGATCTATACCTTTGTCAGCAGTGTGTCAGATGGACTGGAATGGAGAGAGATTTGAGATAGAAGACTAACGAGGAGGTTACTACAATAGCCTAGGGGAGAGGTGATGACCCTCTCAGATTTGTGGGCAGAAAGGAGTTGTATACAAGAGATGTTGTGAAGCTCATTTTTAAAGAGTTATCCACATTTCGTATTTAATTTCCAATTTGTCTTTTGGGCTCTGGGTTTTGTTTTCGGTTTTTGTTTTCTGTTTGTTTTTTGTTTTTTGTTTTTTGTTTTTGCTTTGGATTTGACTGAGGATGGGACTGAAAATCCTGATGCACAGACATAAAGTGTTGTAAATGGAATTAAACCTTTGTGAGCACATTTAATAAGAATAGGATATATTTCTCCAAAGATACAACAAAAATTTGTAACTTCATTGATTTGAAATAAATCTGGAATTACATCTTTCACTGAATTATTGTTACTCTTTTTTCTAGTTTTATATGAAGTGTTTTGTATCTAAATCTCATTCACTTTTTTTGATCAGTAGGAATTATTCCTTCAGCTACCTCCTTTGTTTTTTTAGGATCCCTTTCCCACTCTGCCACTGTCTCCTCACCATTATTTCTCCAATCCATACATTTTTTCAGTTAATACTCTTATGATATTTTAAAAATACATTATGATTATTTATCAAATATTCCCCATACCCTTTTGACAAGTTTCTTATATCCCCTGAGAATAATATATACTGAAGGTTAGGTATTTGTGAAGATGATAGATATGCTGAACTTGGTGTGACAAAGACCTGGATTTGAATCCTGCCTCAAAATTATTAGCTGTGACACCATGGGCATGTCACTGAATTTCTCTGAACAATTTCCTCATCTGCAAAATGGGAGTAGAGTAATAATGCCTGTAGCACTTACCTTCCAGGGTCATTGAGGTTCCAATAAAATAGCGCCTATAAATTACTCTGCTCAACTTTTATTATTATGTACACCTCATCTTTACACTATTCAGAGGAATTCTAAGCCCCCTCCTTGATCCAGTCTGTCTTCTTACATTTTCTACCCACTTTGGACTCCAGGAATTCTACCTTATTATCAACTCATGATAAATATACTTAGGAAAAGAATGCTGATATATGTGACGCATTCTGACGCCAAAAAGATGTGTTTTGTGGATTGTGGGCTGATTCAGCCCTTCACTGATCAAGAGAAGATTGAACGTCCACTTGAATCACAGGTCATCTATGAGAAAGTGAGTCTGATTTAAAAGTTCTGCTGATGCTCTGCTGGTTTCTTTAATGGTATGTTCTGTCCCTCTACATCCTTCCCCTGTCTCCACTACCAGACGGTGAGGTGAATTGCTGCAAAGCTGATTCTATTTTTTCTTTGAAATGCAACTTGTGTCCACAGTAGGCTACTAAAGAAAACAAGCCCATTGGATTCTGATTTCCCCCTTGCTTATGGCTGTTAATCAGCAACACAAGGCAGCCACCTAATCTCGTGCAGGTCTGAGTTCTGCATGGTAGGGGTGAATGGCAGGGGTTCTTTATTCTTTCTGTTTGATACATCCTTCCTTCCACTTCTCAAAATCCACCACTGGGAGAAGGAAAGGGCGGGCAGGAGGGAGAGGGGGAGACTTGCAGAAAAGTCTTTTCCGTTCTAACCTTTCATAGGCTGTGCGGTCATGACCCTGGAGACATCAACTTGCAGCCTCATGATGGGATTGGTTATTCTCCCAGAATCCTCATGGGCAACAGCCCTTTCCTTTCCTCAGGTCCTCTCTCCTCCTGTCTCCTGTGGCTTCACAGCAGAGTTCAGTATCTCAGGAAGAGAAACATAAGGTTCACAAACTGTTGAGATTTCAGCCCTTCTCTGCATGTTCCCCATTCTCCTCAGCCAAATAACCAAAAAGGGGTTTTTTAATTTTGTTTCTGGTATCATTTTTTAGGCCAAAAATACAAGAATGGCTTTTGTCAGTCAACAAGTCATTACTACGTGCCAGGCATTTTGTGCTATGCTCTGGGAATACAAAGAAAGGCTGAAAAACAGTCTTTGCCCTGAACAATTATACATTCTCATGGCAGAATCAACACATAATAATTATATTCAAGTAAGAAATATACACAATAAATGGAAGGTAATCTGAAAGAGGAAGGCATTCTAAGAAAGGCCACCTATAGAAGATGAGACTTGAGCTGCTTTTTTTAAAAGAAAATATTATTATTTTTAACATTCTTTTCTCTGAGTTCCAAATTCTCTCCCTCCCTTCTGCCCTTCCCCCACACACTGAAAAGGCAAGCAATAAATCAATTATACATGTGAAATCATGTAAAACATGTCCATATTAGCCATATTACAAAAAAGCAAGAAAAATAAAATGAGAAAATTATACTTCAATTTGCACTCAGAGTTCATCAATTCCCACCATGAATCCTTTGCAATTGTCTTGGATCATTATATTGATCAGAGTAACTAAGTCTTTATCTCGAAGTGCCACAAAATGTATCCTATTTTTTCTTTGAAATGCAACTTGTATCCACAGTGTACTAAAGAAAACAAGCCCACTGGATTCTGATCTCTTGATCATTAATTACAATATTACTGATGCTGTGTACAATGACCTGGTTCTGCTCACTTGACTTTGCATCAGTTCATATATATCCTTCTAGGTTTGTTTTGTTTTTCCTGCAACCATCCACCTCATCATTTCTTATAGCACAATAATATTCCATCACAATCAATTACCACAACTTGTTCAGCCATTCCCCAATTGATAAGGAACCTCTCCAATTTCCATTTCTTTGTCACCACAAAAAGAGCTACTTTAAATAGTTTTGGACATATAGGTCCTTCTCCTTTTTCTTTGATCTCTTTGGTATACAGACCTAATAGGGATATTGCTGGGTCAAAGGTATGCAGTTTTTTAGCCCTTTAGGCATAGTTCCGAATTGTTCTCCAGAATGATTGCACCAGTTCACAACTCCATCAACAATTCATTAGTGTACCTATTTTCCCTCATCCCCTCTAGCATTTGTCATTTCTGATAGGTGTGAGGTGGTACCTCAGAACTGTTTTAATTTGCATTTCTCTAATCAATAGTGATTTAGAACATTTTTCATATGACTATAGATAGCTTTGATTTCTTCCTCTAACTACTGCTTGTTTGCATCTTTTGACCATCTATTAATTGAGGAATGCCTCCTATTTTTATAAATTTGATCCAGTTCCCTATATATTTGAGGAATACGGCCTTTATCAGAGAAACTTGCTGAAAAACTCTTTGATATTACTTCATTGTCTATGGTATCTTTTATCAAAATGTAGTTTCCCTAATTATTTCTTTTAATTAGGTCTATTTTTGATTTTACTTTGCAAGATCATGATTGTTGGGGCAGCTAGGTGGCACAATGGATACAGCACCCGCCCTGGAGCCAGGAGTACCTGAGTTCAAATCCGGCCTCAGACACATAACACTTACTAGCTGTGTAACCCTGGGCAAGTCACTTAACCCCATTGCCTAACCTCCCCCCCAAAAAAAAGTTTAAAAAAAAGATCATGATTGTCTTTTTTACTTCTACTGAAGCATAATAGATTCTACTCCAGCTCCTATGCGTGTATCTTTCTGTTTCAAGTGTGTTTCTTGCAAACAACATATTGTTGGACTCGTTTCTAATCCATTCAATCCAATCCATGAGAGACTTGAGCCGACTTGATGATGAAGATGATGGGATGATAACGATAACTTCATAGTTGACAAAAACTTTGCATTTGTTATCCCATTGTGTACTTATTCCTTTTTCTCTTAATCATGATTCAATATTCCTGTAGTTCACAGGATCTCTGTGGGGAAAATAACTTTTTTTATTTAAATGTGGGTTCCTTTTTTATCCCTCTGGGACTATATCTTAACCTTGTTGCTTCTACTCTTTTGGTAGAGCCCCTAACCCTCTCCACTCCCCATCCCCCCACTTACGTGCTAATGTCTAGCATCATATACCCACCTATCCATCCCACCCCCCCACCCCCCTATATACACACAGAACTACTCTTTAAAAATACTTCCTCTACCAGCAGCAAGAAATTCAGTTAGTTTTTTGCCGTCTGGACCTTTATAGACCTAGACAGGTAGGTAAATAATCTATTTCTTTAACTAGCACACATATCTCTCCTTGACAAGTAGCTATTTGATAAGACCCCAATCAATCAATCAGAGAGTCAGAGCTTGAAGTAACCTTAGAAGTCATCAAGTCCAACTCCTTTATTTTACAAATGAGGAAACTAAGGCCCAGAGAAGTTATGACTTGCCTAGGATCATATAGCTAGTTAGTACCTCAGTCAACAAGTATTTATTAAGTATGTCTACTATATCCCACTAAGTACTGGAGATTTAAAGACAAAATGGAAATATTCCCTGCCCTCATAGAACCTCTATTCTAATGTCACAATCACTGGGGTCCCTCTCTTTCCTTTTTTTCCATTTATTGGGTAGATTTTCATGACCAATGAAGAGTAGGTGTGCACAAGTTCCAATTCGCATCATATGTTTGGATGGACAGCCTGTTAGATGACTTGGTGTTGGTCTGAAGTCATGTCCAAGTTTACTACTTAGCTTCACTGTTCTACATCCATAGATTGAGCCTTTTATACAGGCCAGTCATCTCAGATGTTTCACTAGTCATGGGTGATAATGTAGAATACAAATGTAACCCATCCCCAACATTGGGACAAGCACATGTAGAATGAGAAAACCTTTAATGTTGTGCCCATGAGCAGGTCCTTTGGGGCTTTAGCTAGGTACTGTATGCAGGGTGTGGGATACTTAGACCACAAATACTACTACTGTTGGCTCTTTGCCCATTGGGTATTTATTGGGAGGTATGATTTTAATGTTCCTATCAAGAGAAATTTTCTCACTTCAATCTTTCTTTGCCCCCACCCAGGAGGAGCTGGGAAATCTTTCCTTCTTTGGCTCTGACCTCCACACTCATATCCCTAAATGTGGACATATTTGCATGGAAAGAAATCATAGCTGATGGTCACATGGTCTGAAAATAAAATAGCTTAAAGAAGTAAATAAGCATTAAAAGGATGCTTGAAAGGACAGAGTGGGAAGTTAGACAGGTGAGGGAATTAGAGGCTGTGGTTTTGAATCCTGGTTCTGCTGTTTACCATCTGTGTGACCTCAGCAAGTCTCTTAATTTCTTTGTACCTTAGTTCCTTATCACCAAAATGAGAGGGCTTAACTAAATGTCCTCTGTGCTCCCTTCTAACTCAAACTCGTGATTCTGTGGTGATCCTAGGGACTGTAGCATGGATTCCAGGCCATACCTGTTGGCTCTGTATTAGCTCTTCTCCTCTCTGGAGAGGAGGCTCCTCTCTGGCTCTTTACTCTGGTCCATCCATCTGTACCATCCTCTTTTCCACAAGCCATGCCCCATCCTCTTTTCCTGCAGAAAACCAAGACCTGGAGGGCAGACCTTCCTTCTCCAGCTTGGCCATGTTTCTCCTAGTATTACCAAAACAGTGAAGGTACAGGATTACACTAGAGGGAAAGAATCAGAATACACATTTTATATACCAATAGTCCATGATCAATTCTCATTATAATAAGAAGAAACAAACTGACTGAATTATCATAGTTATCATGTGCATCAAAACCCAGGGCCCAATTTAAGCCAGTTCTAACAGAAGGCTTAGTCTATTAGCATGCCACTTGTGTCATCATAAGTGGAAAATGTGACCCTTCCTTTTCTAACCCTAGTCCGTCTTTGAGTGACAAACGATTGTGGACATCAGACATTCTAAGCAGTGAGCAAGGATGGATGAATGATTTAAGGTCATTTTTTGGGAAGAATTTATTTATATTTTGTACAAATATATAAAATGTATTATATAAGATATACATTATTTATATACAATTTATTTATTAATTATTTATATATTGTTTATTTATGTATAATTAATATTTATATATTATGTATATATTATATAATATATTTTATATATTTGTGTGTATATATATTTACAAACACACACATACATACACACATACACACATATTTATTTCCCTGAAGGGAACTAGAATGGGTATGGCTTTCTGTGGAAAACAGGAAGGATAGGTAAGTAGATAGATAAATAGATAGATATCTCAGAGGATATACACATACATGTATAAATATTTGTGTACATATACATGTATATACATATATATGCAGTGCATGTACTTATACTCATATAGCTTACAAATGTATGTATATGTGTGCATTTATATTTGCATGTGTATATGTTTATACATTTATAAGTGTGTATATATTTACACAAATATATACCTCATCCTTAGGCTTAACATAGACAAGCCCTTCAGGCAAATGCAAGCTTGGGCAGGATCAGACTCAAGTAGAGAGTTTGCAATCCATGGGAAATATTCTTGAAGTATTTCTGCTGTACACACACACACACACACACACACACACACACACCCACTGTTATTGCTTGTGTTCTCCATCCAATACCCTTTCCAGAATCTTAAGCTAAAGTGAGACATGAGAAAACAGCATTTCTGCAGATTGCTAAAGAACAGATGAATCACAGATTGCCAAAGAGCAAAACTCCTCGGGGAGAGACAGACAGGAAACCATATGGTCCATGTAGGTCCAACCATTGCTAATGCTTCAGCCACTTCCTACTCTTAGGTCTAGATGGAGGCAAGAGTCCTTGGAATATCTGTGTTCCACCACCACCATCAACAAGCCCAAGGGTATGCTGGAGCCAGCTCTAACTGGCTAGGAGAGCTGGTTGTTAAATTTTCAGTGTGAGTCTCAGAAATTAGCAAATGCTACAAATCAGGGCTTGATTTATTATTTTGTTTATTGTCTATGTAAGAAAATGATGGGTAAAGAATTAATAATTCAGATTAAACTGTTTTTGGAGGTAATTGGGGTTAAGTGACTTGCCCAGGATCACAGAGCTAGTAAGTATCTAAGGCTGGATTTGAACTCAGATCTTCCTGATTCCAGGGCCAGGGCTCTATCCACTGTACTACCTAGCTGCCCTGATTCAGGTTAAACTAAAAAGTGTGTCCTGTGTACATTTCATTTTTGGTAAACTAGTTGTTAAACATTTACCTGCACACCACTGACCAATCCCACTTCCAGCCTGACACTAAAGCCATCATCTGTTATCTGAAGAGCATCATGGTAATGCAATGGTGCTAGGAAGACCTGAGTTCAAGTCTTGCCTCAGACACACTTATTAGTTATGTGACACTTGGAAGTCACTTAACCACTCACTTTTCTCATCTGTAAAATGGGGTAGTAGTGCCACTTACCTCCTTGAGCTGTTGTAGGAACTAAATAAGTTAGTATTTTTAAAGTACTTTGCAAATCTAGAAGCCACACTTCTAGCCTAGCCATGGCCCAGCAAAGGAACCCAACTTTATGGGAAAATGACGGGGAGATTAGTGGTGCAGTTACTGCAGCCACAGCTACTGAAGACCCGGAAAAGAAGGATCTTGCAATGAAAGTCCACGTCTCTAGCACTGTAGAAAGGCTCAACATTAGGAACAAATGTATTTTATCAATGGGAATGGTATGAAAGCAGAGGCACCACCATCTGCTTAGCTGCTGCAACCTAAGGATCTTTCCATCAACTTGCTATTGAAATCTCTTCTCTGTGTTGTGTTCTCCAATTAGAATAGAAGCTCCTTGAGAGAAGGGAATATCTTACTTTTCTATTTGTTTCTCCAACATTTCACACAATTCTTTGCACATGGTGAGTATTTAATAGATGCCTTTTCCATTCACTCATCAAATCATATTACAATGAATGCCACAAATATGTTGGTCAGCTAATAAGTGTTTAGTATCATCATCTTCATCATCATCACCATCATTATCACTGTTGTTGTTGTTATTGTTGTTATTATTAGCATTATTATCAAGCATGTCCAAATTCTTTGGTTGTACTGAAATATCTCCACAGCAAAAATCATAATATGAGATAAATTAATTCAGTTGAACACATTATTATTTGACCATTGCCTGGGGCTTGGTAATTATTTTGGTTATCCAGAAAGAATTATTCCTATACGGAAATCATGGCATTTGGTACACCAATGTTACCAAACTGGACCAAATATCTCTATCAATGTGAGCATTATTAAAGATATAGGCCTATAAGGCATTTTAGTAAAAGTGTCACCCTGTTCTATGTAAAACCATTCTATCTGGTTAGCGGTTAATTTACTGTTCTCAACTGAAAATGTCTTTAAAATAGATATGGTAGAAAATTCTCAGTCCTTGTCATGATCCCTCACAAATAAACTGAAAATCGTTAGGAATCAAAGGCTGGTTGGGCTGAATCAAAGCCAGTGGCTTCAAATAATGAGGCTCTGCTACTTTGTTTTATACTAGAAAAATGGTAGAGGTGAAAAAGTCTGCATCCCATGTCCTCTGGCCCACGTATAAATATGGTACCTGGACTTCTCCCAAATGAACAAACTCCTTGCTGATAATTCTCAAACAAGAAAAGATCAACAGATCTAAGCACGTGTACTTAGGCAAAGAGGAGGGGAAGGATGCAGACCTCTGTGTGTATGCATGTATGCACATGCAACATGCACAAGTAAACTAGAAAGAAAAGACCTATATCATACATACCCTTTTGTGCAGAATTACAGAAGCAGTAGTACACATTTTTATGTTAAGTATGTGTGTGCACGAAAGGGACAACTCTGGATTCAATGCATACTGATGAGCAATGTGGAAATTCAGTCTTCATTTTTCTTCAAGAACTGCAATTCACTCATTACCTATTAAAAAATAGAAGAGTCCCTGTTGAAGATTTTTTAAAAAGATTCATCTTGTATATTTTTCCTATACGAACCCTGGATTTTTCATGTGCATAGTTTTAGACATGTTGACACCATTACAACATAGACCCCTTGAAGGCAGAGCCTGTTTTCGCCTCCTTTTGAAGCCCCAATGCTTAGCATAGGAGCTGGCACGTAGTAAGTGCTTAATAGAGGCTTGTCAGCTGACTGACACACCTGAGGTAAGCACAACTTGCATTCTTCTGATGGCAACATTTCCTTTTGACTTCATGGATTTTACATACATCATTCTTACTTCTCCCACGCATGGGTTTTTCAGTCTGGCCAACTGATCAGATCCACAAGGAGGCAAATGGTGATTGGGAGATAGAATTCACCCAGGCACTTAGCTATTTCAGGCCTTTTCCATGTGCCCTCACTGCCCTCCCCCATTGGCCTCCCCTTTTCAGAGTGCCTTTCACCTACTCTGTAGTTGTTTACATACTCTCTCTCCTATTAGATTGTAAATTTCTTGAGGGCAGGAACTAGTTTTTGCCTTTCTTTGTATCCTTGGTCTTAGCACAGTGCTTGGCCCTTAATAAATGTTTTTTGCTTTGTTTTGTTTTTTCACTTTTTTCCTCCTCCATTTTATGGCATTCAGATAGCTTGAGGACTATAGTTTGTAACATTCACCAAGGAGGAAACAGAAAGTGGTGGGATCCTTGAAATTCAGTGCCTGATTTTAGGATCCACTAAGTCTCAATGTTACTGGAAGAGAAGCTGCTATTTATTTTATGTAAATGTCTCCCCTGGAACAGCAGGTGTCCCACAATGAACAAGCCCTCTATGGAAGTTAATGTTCCCATTTGATTTCTCTGTTAAAAAAGAACTATGGAATCACCTCTTTTGATGACTAGAATTGAAGGTGAAAAGAAAAGAAAACGTCAATAGACAAAGAGAGGACACAGGTTCTCTCCCCTTCCTCTATCCACCTTCTCTCCCCCCCAACCTAATAAAGATGATTAAATTACAAGTCTTTTCTTCCTGGTGAAATCACTGCACATTATTCAAATATTGGAACTCAGGAAATAAGGCAGGACAACATCCCTCATGAAACCTTAGAAGGCAAAGCAGGGGTCCAAGGCTGGAGGCCTGCCTGGCTAGGCTGCTCTAATTAAGAAATAACCCTGCTGAGCAGAATTTAATCTAAATAAAATAGAAAAGGAACTTGGTGGAAACCACTGCCGCCCCAACCCCACCCCCTTCCCTCCTCACCCTCTTACCCCTCACCCCCTCACTCCCTCACACACTTATCTCTGCCTCTGGTCAACTCAGTCTTGGCTGAGTTCTCAACAGGTGCATCTCAACCAAAGCTAGGACAAAATCTTTCTGCCTCTAGACAAGGTTTTAATATGATGTCCCTGCATCTTTTATTTAATTCAAGTGAACAGACATTTATTAAGTTTATGCTACGCGTAAGGTACTGTGATACTGTGTAGTACTGTTCTCCAGAGGCTTTGAGGGTTAACTTTAGCATAGGTTTTCTTTCTTTTTACACTATGAATTTAGCAAAAATCTCAGAGCATAATCATTTCAGTATGCAATGAACAGAGAGTATTGAAAATGAAACTGTGAACTTTTATTACATACTTTGTTCTTTTAAAGTATACATTAAATTTAGCACACTAATACTCAAACTGCCCTGCTTTTCTGTATCCCCTTCTGAACTTTTTTTGTTCATTTCTGAGTATTGTTAATATGCTTTTTCGTTCCTCTCATCATTTTCCCCTTTTTTAATGTTATGGATATAACAAACATTAACAGCCATTACATTCTCATATGCATAGACCGCTGGGTGATATAATGGATTGAGGGATGAACATGGGGTCAGAAAGACTTGGACCCAGGCCTTCTTGCCACTCAGAGCCAGTCCTCTATCTCCTAACTCCACACTGACTCAGCTTTGAATTGTGTCAGAGATAAGCAGATGGTACAATGGATGGAAAACTGGAGCTGAAGTTAGAAAGAACTAAGTTCAAATCCAACATCAGATGCTTAATCCTAGTTACTTGTGGAGCTTGTTATTTATAAATGTTAAGTTTAACCACCATGTGTCTTGGAGTTTGCAGTATTGTTGTGTTGTTGTTGTTGTTTTTCCTTTTTGGAGGCAATCTATGAATTCTTTCATTTGATATTTCATTTTCTGTTTTCAGAAGTTCTGGGCAGTTTTCTTGTAGCATTTCTTTTCTCTTTTTTTGGCTAGGCAGTGGGGTTAAGTGATTTGCCCAGGGTCACACAGCTAGTAAGTGTCAAGTGTCTGAGGCTGCATTTGAACTCAGGTCCTCCTGACTCCAGGACCCAGACATTATCCACCGCACCACCTAGATACCCCATTCTTGTAGTATTTCTTGCATTGTGGTGTTCAAGTTTTTTGACTTGTCATGTTCTTCTGAGAGATGTATAATCCTTAGGTTGTCTCTATACATTCTGTCTTTGAGATCAGTATGTTTTGCTTTTATAATGAGCACATTTTCTTCTAATGTTATCATTTTTCATTTCTCTTCTTCTAGACCAAGAGTGTGGAATCTGTGTCCCTCTAGGTCTTCAAGTACAGCTCTTTGACTTTGTTTTATGAAGTTTGAATTCAGTCAAAGGGCTGTACTTGAGGACTTAGAGGGCCACATGTGGCCTTGAGGCCACAGGTTCCCCATCCCTGTTCTAGACTGTCCTTTACTTCAGTATATTTGCATTCCTAATTAATTGTTCTCTCTTTTGTTTCTTTGGTGAGGCATGCCATTGCAGGTTACAATTTTTCTACTCTACTAATTATTTTTTTTTGTGTAGGCCATAAATTCTTCTCTCACAATTCCCATTTCTCTTTTAAACCACTCTGGAACATCACGTTGTGGTTCCATGTTCTCCTCAATTTCCACAGGATCCTCTGTCTTATCAAATATTGGATCATTTCCCCTTGTTTTGCAGCGTTTATTCATAGATGCCTGAACTCATTTACTAGATCTAGAGGCAATATCTCCTTATACTATGTGCTTAAGGTCTTTGAGTTTTCTTCTTCCTGAGATTTTTGGTAATTTCAGTCTTTTTTTTCCCCTTATTTTCTCCTATTGCTCACTTCCTGACTCCCTCCTCTCTGGTGGTGGTTTCCCTGGGAATTGGATTCCAAAGCTTATCAGCCTCTTCCCATGCTGGGCAGCTCACAGTTCACCAGCCTAGGTCTCTGTTCCAAATAACTTTTGGAGGGGACAAAACAAGATCCAGATGGGTGATGGATTTTCCTTTAGGTTTAGTGGAGTATCACACAGCCCCTGTCCCACCATAATGTCATCTACTGTTCCCTCTGTTCCTCAGCTGTCTGGTCCAGCAGTCCAGAAAACTACCACACTGGTACTACTGCAGCTAGGGTTGATCTGTACTTTGAAGCTTGGCTCCAGGGCTAGGTAGAGGTGGGAGAGGGTGTTAGCATATGAAGTTGAGCTTCATTTCAAGCCCAGACATGTGTGCTGCCTCATTCCCTCTGTTCTTCCACTCTCCTGAAGAAATATTTTGCAGCCTGGAGTGCTGCTACAACACTGGCCACCAAGACCCCAGCAAAATTCTGCAGTTTGGAGCACAGGTCTCCAACGCATTGGAAAGAGAGAGAGGTGACTGGTACATGTGGGTGTGCTTTGTTGACCCACGGGGTGGTGTGTTGGGTTGATAAATTGGGTTCTTATGCTGACTAGCGCAGCCTCTCTACTGGTGATAGTGTGAGCAAGGGCAAGGGAAGAAGTGCTAAGTAAATACAAGGTAGGGTCAGTTCATGTTTATTTGTTTGTTTTAGTTTTCTTTTAGATTCCATGTATCCTAGACCATGGAGACAGCTGAAGTTGCTTTTTTTTTTTTCATTTTCACATTAGTCATGTTGTGGGGAAGAATTGGAACCAATAGGAGGAACCACAAGAAAGAGAAAACAAAACAAAACGTAAGGAAAAAAATGGCAAAAAGTATGTTTCGATCTGCATTCAAACTCCATAGTTATTTCTTTGGATGTGGACAGCATTTTCCATCATGAGACTTTTGGAGATATCTTAGATCTTTGCATTGCTGAGAAGGGCTAAGGCTATCAATATTAGTCATTGTACAACATGGCTGTTACTGTGTACAATGTTCTCCTGGCTCTGCTCACTTCACTTACCATCAGTCCATACAAGTCTTTCCAGGTTTTTCTGAAGTCCGCTTGCTCATCATTTCTTATAGCACAGTAGTATTCCATTACATTCATATACCACAACTTGTTCAGCCATTCCCCAATTGATGGGCATCCCCTCAATTTCCAATTTTTGGCCACCACAAAAAGAGTTGCTATAAATATTTTTGTAATGTGGGTCCTTTTACCATTTTTATGATCTCTTTGGGATACAGCCCTAGAAGTGCTATTGCTGGCTCAAAGAATATGCACATTTTTATAGCCCTTTGGGCATAGCTCCAAATTGACCTCCAAAATGGTTGGATCATTTCACAACTCCACTAACAATGCATTAGTGTTCCAATTTCCCACATCTTCTCAAACATTTGTCATTTACTTGTTTTGTCATGTTGGCCAATCTGATAGATGTGATGTGGTACCTCAAAATTGTTTTGATTTGCATTACTCTAATCAATAGTGATTTAGAGCATTTTTTCATGTAACTGTAGATGGCTTGAAGTTGCTTTAACTTATGCACATAATTTCTGTGTTGGAGAGGTTTTAGAGGTCATGAGAGTCAGAGAAAATGTCTAGTCCTTCATTTTATTGGTTCAGTCCCAGATACTTAACAGCTATGTGACCATGGGCAACTTACTAAACCCTCTCAGCCTCAGTTTTCTTATCTTTAAAATGGAGATAATAATGTCACATCACAGGGGTCATTGTGAGGATCTTATGAAATAACATACATAAAGTGCTTTATAAACTTTAAAGTACTATGTAATGCTAGCTCTTATTCTACAGAAAAAAAGAGGAT